TTTCTTGTGCTGGTCCCCTCCCTCTGCAAGATGAAGCTCAAGAGCCACAAGAACGTCCTCCTTCCCCAAAATGGCCATGGTCCTCCATCTCCCCAGCAAACTGCTGGAGCAAAGTGGGACCCATTTCACACAGAGAAGTCTGCAGGTCCCAGAAGGGGAGAGGTGAGGAAGGGAGTCCCCAGGAGATGACAGACCCCACAAGATTTGTTGAGCTCCTCCAGGGACGTGTTTCAGTGATCCCTAGCAAGATGCTAGCCAGGCCGCAGCTGGAAAATGGGCAGAGAAGCCGTCTGCCCCAGCGCAGCCCCCGAAAACCTTCAGCCTGTCCAGATGATTAAACAGCCTCCTGACATTCGGTGGTGGCACAGCAGTTTCGTGTCTGCATCACGAGAGCCTCGGATGGCAGTGCCCATCACTAACTCACCAGTGTCCCTACACTGCTGCAGAGGACAGACCACAGCACACCTCAAAGGTGAGAGGAGTGAAGAAAAGCCCGCAGAAGTCCACTTTACTCTGTCTTGCTCACTCCGTGCTTGACAGCCAGGAGCTGCTCATTGCCTAAACCCAAAGGAGACTATGCTGCGTCCATAGGAACGTGGCAGAACACGACCCTTCACGGCCCAACAATGGAAGAAGCCCAGTCCCATCTACTGGTGATAAATAAGCAGAGTTGAAGTAGCTTATCCAAACCCCAAGTGTCTCAACATGAGGAAAGAATCCTGAGTTACCCAAGTTGAGGGCAATGCTGCGCCACAACCGGAATCAGCCAGGAGAGGAGCTGGCAAGAGCACTGTCAGCGACAGCTCACCCCACCACTGACATCCGCACAATCCCTGCAGGCACCCAGAGCGCTGGCCCCAAGGAGCCAGCTCAAGCCCCAGAGAAATGCCGCATCCAAGAAAAAGCTAAGAGTCGCCTGAAAGCCCAGCAGGGAAAGGCCAAGCCTGTCTGATGAAGGACCAGAGCGCTGCTCAAGGACAAAGCCACTTGTCTGGGAACAGGCATGGAGATTTGCTCCTTGCCTGGATACTTCAAAGGGCTTAAATCACAGTAAATAAGCATGACTGTGCAAGAAGAAAGCAACTGGAATGAAAGACCCGATTGTGTTTTAGAGCATCAGCCTGTCCTGGGAGCCTTCCTACACCAGAGGATGTGAGGAAGTGGGTTTTTTCATCTTCTACCACAGCCTAAGCAGCAAACCCTCCCGAAGCTGAGCCAGCTGGAGTCAGCAGCGCCAGCCCATGGCAGAGAGCGCTACAGAGAAGGGAAATCAGTCTCCAGATGAGGTGCTTGTGCTGTGCCCACAGAGCCCATAAAAAAGGATTAGCATGTTAACCACGTAATTAAACATGAAAAACTTAGCAGGCGTCTTTAAAGGCAGGCAACAAAACCCAGAGGTCACACCGCAGCACTTGCTGTGTATCTGGCTTAATTATGGGGGCTCCTCCCAAGCACCGAATCTCTCCCAGCTGCTGGATTAGTCTTTTCACAAATTGCCAGGGCTTCGTTTCACCTCCTTGTGCTGCAGCCACAAGTGGATTTCACCCCAATTTCACCTGCCATGGAGTTTCTCAAGGCAGTCAGGATGGGGCAGCAGGTTTCAACCTCAGAGACACATCCAATGCCTCCCCCAAGGTGTCCCGGAACTGCAGGGTCACCCTTCCTCCCTCTTTCCAAGGAAATGTTTAACAAGGAGAGCGGCTGGTCTTGGGAAGACCTGCAGCCCCCCTGGGAGTGGCTGGCAGCAGCCAGCCAGCACAAAACCTTAACTGGAGTGATTTACAGCACTGCCTGCAGCCCTGAAAGGGCCAGTCCATTCAAGAACAGCACAAACCTCTGCTGATTGCTTCTGGGTACCGGCCAGGGAGAAGTCTGCATCTAAAGCATCTTCCTGCCTCCACTACAGAGCTCCAGAGGTGCTGAGAAATTGCTCCACGGTTGGCTGTGACTGCCATGCAGGCAGGGCTGTGCAAGCCCTCAGAGTAACTTTTAACGAAAGCCTTTTCCAAAGGTGCTTACCACCACGTTTGCCACCCACCTTCGTGAGCGCTGCTACCGCAGCATCCGTGCCGCTTCTTCCCTTAGCGCTACCACTCAACACTCACTAAACCCTGTGGGTGTGCGAGAACCATGGTTGAGGAAAGAGCAAAAAAGCTTCCTCAAGCTCATCCCCCCGAAGGAGGGAGTCAATGCTCTGCACATACACAGCCTGCAGATCCGAGGGCAAATCCTCAGAGGAAAGCAGGCTCGGGAAAGAAGAGACGTGGCGTTAACAGAGCAGGAGTCACTAGCATGCCACAGGAGGCAGGGGACAGGCAGAGGCATGGCAGGCAGGCAGGCGAGCAGCTCTGACAATCGGTGTCCCCAAGTGTGACTGTGACCAACAGCGCTACCTCCAGCACAACCTCCCTGCACCACCCCCAGCTGCAGCCTTGCTCAAGAGCTACCTGCAGATGCCGGCTGTCCTTAAGCCTCCGCTTTACGTCCCTGTGATACTTCTCAAACAGGCAGACGCTGGTAACACATCCATGTGCTGCTCCTCTCCAAGACAGAGGTGCACATTTTTAGCCTGACAGTTTTGGCAGCAAAGAGTTGATCAGGTTTGTTCAGTTGTTTGTTTGGTTTTTGTTGGGTTTTTTTGTTTTGTTTTTTTAAAAGCCTGAACTTCTTTTTGCAGCAAACAAGCGGGAAGGTCCTAGTTTACTTCATTAAAGAAATCTTCAAAGGCCACCCTGCACCTCCAATAGATTCCCAGCCACCGGCAGCACAGCAAAAACAGGCATGTTTAATTATTTAAGCATCTACGCCTGCACGCCTCCACTGATGTTTGCCAACTCAACTTCTGCCAAGAAAGACACTTCCCAGCACGGAGGATCAGGTGCAAAAACGAATGCAGAGAGGCTGCGAACGCTACCAATGGAGCGAGAGCCAGGCAGGGTGGCTGCCTGCAACATGCTGCACAGGTCTACCGCAGGGACGGGCACGGTGCTGCGCCGTGGCAAGCCCGGTCTCACCGGCACTGCACCCTGCTGCGGTGCGTAAGGAGTGTGGTAGGGGGTGGCAGCGATGGGAGCGGGCTAGAGCAGTGTGTATCGCAGGCAAGCTCATGCACAGGTTAGTATTACAGCTGGTGATCCCATCACCCCACGCAGAGTACCTTGGAATAACCTACTTTGAAGTCTCAAATGCAGATAGGTCTTCTGCCCTGGGCTTGAGGCTAAACCAGCAAAATAAAATGAACAACAACAAAAAACATCCTCTGTGATATGAGTAACGTCAGGTCATTTGTGCAATCTGTACAGTTTGCCCAGAGCGCTGAAGTGATCAGCAGCTTCCAGGTGGGGCAGAGGGTTGGCATTATTTTAGTGTTGCTAAACTTCTATCCCATTTCCAGTGCCTTGCATTTTCCTTTCCATCACAACTGCAAAGACAAAAGCCCTCCTGACCTCCTGGTGGCACGAACAAAAGCAGTCTGTAATTTCATTCTGATGTGCTCCACTAATAGACTATTATTTCAAAGCCTTTGCTCCTCTGGCTGAACTGCGGAGCTGGGCAGCCTTGGTCCCTTCCTGAAGGGAGGGGACAGGACAGGGGACAGGACAGGACTCCAGCTTCAAAGGAACGAAGACTGACCGCACAGTCCCAATTACGGCGATGAGCCCTGACAGACATTGAAATGATTGCCCAGCCACCTTCTTTAAGTGAGACAAATGGGACCATCAGCTCTCTAAGAACTCGTCTCTGTCAGAAGTGAAAATTTAGCATTTTCTGTTTAAACCGAGGACTCTGAGCACTGAGACAAAACCTAAAAAAACCTACCGGGAGCAGAAATGTCTTCAGATTCTATGATGACAAAAGGGTCTGTGAGGATTTTTATATTCTCCGCTCTGGAGGGACAGGAACCTGAATAGCTCAGGGCTAGCACAGGGAAACTGGGAAGGGAGACACGCTAGATTCATTTTCCTGCCCCAATTCCGTGATCATAAACTCCCAGCCACAGCAGTTGGCATGAACTGGTATTTTCAAATCCTTTCAGACATAACTCTCAGCTGGGAGTAGTAAAGAGATAAGGATTTGTTTTTAAAACCTGGAGCTGTTACCACAACCTGCATCCCATGCCACACAGATTTCTGAATCCTTCACAAGGACAGCTGCTAGTGGAAAGCCAGCTGGGTAAAAGCTTTTGCAGGTGAGTGGGGCTTGACCACTACATCCCACCCTACCAACTGTGGGTGTGCCCCCAGCCCCTCATTCCACTGAGCCCAGCAGGGCGAACACGAGAGCTACTAAGCAAAAGGCAAAGGACTGGTTGTAAAAATAAAGAACGGGCTTTGCTGTGACCTTTCAGGTATGACCCCTGGGCCAGCAGACCCAACCACCCAAACTTTTTGGCTAAGTATTCATCTTCTAGAGGCAGGTGGTTCCAGGGTCCACAGCACAGGGAGCAGACACCTCACACACCCCCTGCTAGCGAAAGATTTTGCTGTTAGTATTTGAAGCTGTGCTACAGGTTACTCAAGAACAGATTAAAAGAGAACATGAGGCTTTTGGCATTTTCTGCTGAGAGCCCATAAGTCAGGAATATTTTTTGCCCTTATTATTCTTCAGCTAAGCTCAAGACTGCTTCCTCACAGTGCCTTTAAGGAACAGTTGCAATAGGCAGGCAGGGCTTTTCTGTTCCGGGGTTTGCTAGGGTAGCAGATCTCTTCTAACAGCTTTTGTTAAGGTTCCACAAGACCTTCAAACCTTGAAACCTTTGCATCCCCTCACACAGCACTGAAGACGCAAGGCTTGGTTGGGGTAAATATAAACCAGGAGCCACCAGGAGCTGAGATTCTCTGCACCCTGGTTCAAAGCTAAGCAGCCGGGGAAGAAAGCCTAGATTAAACAATTTTATTATAACAACTTGTGCAAAAGCTAAACCAAAAACCGAAGGGTTATTTCATTGTTGTTTTTAAAGGATTTCATCAGGCGAGATACAAACTGGAGCCCTCCGATACCTTTTTAATAGTGTTGTGCTTGCTGTTGCCTCGGCTGGCATTCTCGTTGTGCAATATATCCAGAGCTGTCTCTCTCTCCTTTAGCTTCAGCGCCTCAATTTCTGTCTTCAGCTCATTCAGCTGCTCCTGCAGGTGCTTGCTTTTCTCCATGTACTCTACCCTAGCACACACAAGAGAGTCCTAGGTTAGTACTGGCCAGCTAGACATGGTGACACAATACCGTGGCAGCCGATAATGGAATTATAACAGAAAAAACTTATCTTCATCAATTCTAGTGTATGGAACTGACAATATTAGTTTACAGCATGCAGTCAACTACTCTGAGCAATGATTTGTTCATTATTAAAAAGAGGACCCTGACAGCTGACCCAAGAAGAAAACTGTAAGTTATGTTACTATAAAAAAATCCAAAGACAAACTAGAGCTGCTGGATGATATTTGTAAGCCTCCCCATTTCCCAGTGAAGCTGCACCATGACACAGGTTAACATCATGCAGTTTCAGTCTACAAGATCATGGTTTAAGCAGCGCTGCTCTACTCCACCGCACCCTCTCTCAAACCCAGCTCACAAACTCAAAGGCACGAATCCTTCCAGGAAGGAAGGACCCTGATGTACTGACTTCTCATGTTTCAGAGGGATGTAGCTTGTAAAACTGTGTGGGAGCAAGCACTGCCCCCAAAATATCAGGTATCTTTCAGACACACAGCATCCCTGGGAGAAAGAAAGGTCTCCCAAAAAAAAGAAAAAGAGAAAAAATACCCCCAAACCCAGCCATTCTCAGGACTCAGCCCTAACTGCCTTCCATGATGAAGCATCAACTGGAGAAAAATCACATCGTGCCAGCCTTGTACCTGTGATTAAACACGAGCTGGGTCAAAGTACCAGCAGACTAACAAAAACCTTTTCAAAGTGCCAAAATTTGTAGCGGGGTTTATCTCAGCACCCAAGGAATGCAAACAGTCCCGGAGAAGTCAGCAAAAGCATGTTATTGCTTTCAGCGTTTGGCAGAGCTGAGCTCTTCCCGCTTAGGAGAGTGGGATGACCTAGTTAGCAACCTGGGTACAGAACCAGGAATGATCCTGTTATTTTCAGCTTCTACCTTGCTCCTTCTGGCTTTAGGAAGTTTTTAACCTCAGTCTCCAGCATAGTGGTCTGTTATTTCCTACGCGGGAGAGGGTACTCAGCAGAGGCAGGACAAACCACCCCCTGGGATCCAGGGGCATTTTGTTCCAGCCTCGGGAAGTTTTGGCCGGAGCTCTGTGGCAGAGCCCTTCTAGCTTTGATCTACTACCCAATCAATGAACAAAGCACATTATTACTACAGAGATTAAAATCTGATCTGCTTTGATTTCTGCTAAATTTGTAATTTTGAAGGCTAAACTTACACCCTCAGGAAAACACAAGATCAAAGCTCATAATCACATCCAAACTTGCTTGCGCACACTTTTTATATATAAACATGACACAGATTCCAAGAAAAAGGGGTTAAAGCCCTAATGTGGGACCTTAGCACAGACTCCAGCTATCTTTACATTCTCTGGACACACTGCAAATACACAAGCACCAGCCTGCAATCATTCAGCGCACCAGCAGTCAGTCAGGAATTACAGAAAGAGTTAACTCTTTTCTACCAACACATCAATTCAAGCGTAACCAGGAGCTGGGTTAACCATACAGAGAGGAACTGACTGGTGCAGGGCTCGTGCTTAAACTCGCCTTTAAGCAGGCAGTAGGGATGCATCTGTGACACCAGGTCCCCCACCCAGAGAAATGGTCAACCAGCAGCTACATCATGCTCTGGGCAGAGCTACTAATGACCTGGTAAATGCAGACCCAAAGAGACTTCTCCCCCTTTCACCTCACACCAGTGCTCGTCTGGAATGTAAAAAGTCGCATTCAGCACCAGTGCAATTCCTCCCACTGCAGCCGAGGCACAAATCCCAGCCCTGACCTGGACTGGACGCATGCCACATACTTCTCTTTCTCGATTTCCATCGAAAGCCTCTTCATGTCTGTGTCTTTGAAGTCAAAGGACAGGCTCTCACTGATGAGGTTGAAGCTTGGCAGGTCGGTAGGCAATGCTGTCGTACTTGAGTTCATGGACTGCTAAAGAGAGAAAGTACAAATTAATCACTTTTGGCCGCACAAGCATTCCTACAGCAAATGTTCTGCAATAGAGAGGTAAAATCAGAGCAACACCAAAGCATGCAGTGCAGGGTGCTACTTACTAATGCTGTAATAAGGTCCTGATCTGCTCCTCACAGAGGTAACAGCACACTCCTCTTGGAGTTGTGTGTATTCTACCTTGCAGTGGTGCTGAACTGGGAGGATCTCATCGTTTGCATGGGGAAAGGGATGGGGCACATGTATTCCTGAGGCAACACAGCCCACAACCCCATCTGTCCAAACCAGCCTCAAACTTTCTGGAGAGCAGATTACGAGGCTCTTTTTCAGCTGGTGATCTTTGAACACAGAGTACAGCGAGCACTCCAAGGCACCGCAGAAGCAGAGCAGCAAACAAGCCCAGCGTCCCAAGCACCGGATCGGCCTGAAGATCCCCTTGCTCCATTCCCAATTTGCTCTTCAATTCAGAGATATTGCTCCTCTGGGACCCACACTCTTTGCAGCAGTAAACAGGAGACAAAACACCACCTGCCTTCAGAATCTGTTGACAAAACTTTGTAAAATCTAGGTTTTGTCACTGCCGTGCCACTTAAAACAATGCTGGACAGAAGGTGCCTCTTGGGAGACACCTGACAGCTATTTAACATTACATCAGATTTTAAAAGTGCAAGCTGTGAACAGGGGTAACGTGAGACCCCGCATGACAGCAGAGTCCTGTGCTCCACTGCTCCCCACAGTGTGAGCAAAGAACAACGTAACCCCAAGGGTTAACTTGGGATGCAATTTCCATAAGGTCCACGGAGATGCACTGAGACATTTTTCTCTTTGCAGTAATTTACAGTTCCAAGCATTCAGGAACCACTGCTAGATTCAGTTGGAAATGCAGAGATAACATCAGGAATCACTCATATCACGCCTGAGCAAGGATTTGGGACTTTCTTCCTCCTGCAAAATGCTGTGATATCCCCCACTGACACAGGCTGCCAGGCCCTCAGATTTTATCTTCCCCTAAAAAAAAAAAATGACCCTTCTCTCAGTCAAAAATTCTGTCACACCTCTATTAAATGGGCTCATTACCAGTAGAGGAAAAGCATCCTGACTCAAATCATCACTCTGCTCTTGCAATATGTTAGACGAGGTCACAAGCAGTGGCACACGTCAAGGATGGCACAGCAGCTTCCGATGGCAGACTGTGCGCGTGGATCTGAGTCAGAACTGCTGCCAGCCCGGCATCCAAAAGGTCACCCACCTCTCTCCTAGATGCTCCTTCTCGCTTTAAGGGATTCCTGTAAGGAAAACCACATGCCCAAACCAGCCTGGACTGGGGGATGGCAGGAGATGGTGCTGCAGAGACAGGCTGCTCTGGCAGCACACACCAAAAGCTGGTGGGATGGTTCTAAGCTACCTGCCCCAACAAACGAGATCTTGAGCTTCAGCTGGTTATTTCTTTCCCCTCATTTCTCCTATTTGGGATACTCCAGGGATTGTTTGCAGCTAGCTCTGCTTCAACAAGAACTGCTAGCGCCAGAGCGGTGACAGATTTACTCGGCACAATAACCTGCCTCTTCCCTCACCGCCAGCCTGGAATTCACAAACAGCCAGGGCTTGTCCCCCGCTTGGTCTTCGGCTGGACAAACCTGAGAGAGACAACATTTCATTTACCCTGCAGAGGCAAAGCTGGAACGCAAACACCTAGTACAAGCATAAACAAGGCGGCACCCGAAACCACACTGCTTCCTCTGGCTGGAGTGTTACAGGTAAGCTAGACTCACACGACACGGGAACACAATTTCTTACTCCCCTTTGCAATCGCTGCTAGCGCAGAACACAGCTGCATTAATTCTGGAGCAGGCACTGAAAGGGACAGCTGAGTACCTAAATTCCAGTCTCAAAGGCGAGGGGACAGGTCTGCCAAAGCACTAAACTGATTTAAATACTCGCATCACACTGACATTCAAGTCCCTTCTCTGTAAGGCACACAGGTGTTTGCAAAGAACGTGAGGTTCTACCATCTCTGCTGCGCAGGGGAGCCAGGATCATCAGAACCAGCCTGTTGGCCTTCAAACAACCTTTAGCAGTTTTTCAGCACGCGCTTGTTGGGTTTTGTTTTAAAAAAAACCAAACAAGCAGCAGTAACATTTGAGCAGGAATTTCAGTTGCTGCAATCATTAAGTCCAGATGCCAATTTGTCAGGGTTACTACAGCCACTCCCTTGCTTTTCCTCAGCACTGCTCTTTCATGAAGCAACGAAAAATTCGTGGAGAAGTCAGAGAGGAGCAGCAGTGAGGAAGAGTAAGGAAAGAGCAAAGAGCATGCTGAGGGCTTTCAAAGGTACGGGCTTAGTATCTGGGGTAAAGCATTTCCCTGCCATTTGCAATTACCCCGGGTAAGTCTTGCACAAGGTGCAGAGATTTTTTAATCTGGGGACATGGGGTGTCACTGGGACATGGGATGATAAAGGGGACACAGACCTTTTCCCTTATGTGTTTCCTCACCTGGAACAAACTGCATAACCCTGTTAGCGCATTAAAGCAATTCCCTGCTGTTAATAGAGGCAAGCACCACGCTGACAGTGGTCATCCCTCTGGAGCATAGAGCACACGAGACAGACGATATGGAGGAAGCACAGAACAAGTCATGTCATGAGGCTTCCCCTGCAGGGAGAGCTCCTCCTGTTGCTGCCACTGCCTTTACTTCCCTGCTCAAGAATTTGGGCCCTGTTGCTGCCACAGCCTTTACTTCCCCGCTCAAGAATTTGGGCAAGCCCAAGACAGCCACTTACTACTTCAAGAGGATCAGAGATAAGATGACTGCCTTTAGTCTTGCCATGAGCGGTACCTGAAGGGCAACAAAGGAGGCAAAGAGCTGTTGCCAAGTCTGTAAAGAATGAATTGTTCTCTTACCCCTGACGGCCTGAGACTCAGATTCACGTCTTCTTTCTCATGCATCACCTACCAGTCCCATCACAAAAGCAGCTTGGGCTTCAAGGACTAAAAAGACACCACAACAAGCTTTAAAGAACCAGAACGGGAGATGGGAAAGTTACAAGAAAAAAAAACAAAACTGTTTCTTGCCTTTTCTGCAATACATCCATCCACTCACCCCTTCCTCTTCTGCTCTCGTTCCCCCAGAGGGAAGTCCTGCCTTAGCTCTCAGTGCCAAAGGACGACACAGCGCAAGTATTGGGACCACAGAAAAGAACAAACTCCTCATTAAGGAGAGGAGCTGGAATCCTGCACTGTTTGGCAGAGCTACCATTCACCTGAGGGACACGAGCCTCCCAGCAGCAGCTTTCAAAACTGCTTCATCCCTCAAGGCCACCCTGGGCTCCTTCCCTCCTCTGGGAATTGATCCCCTTGCCTGCCGGATGCCTGTGTGCTGGCAGGGCAGGCAGGCTCGCCCAAAGCCAGGGCTGCATGGGAACAGGATCTCAGCGCATCTTGCTCGTCTTCCCCAAACACACACGCAGCAGAGCAATGAGAGAGGCCACAGGGGAAGGGAGAAGCAAGACCAGCATTAACAGGGGAAGGGCTAGCAAGGTGTTGTCACCTGGATGTGGGCACAACTGTCACACCTGCATCCTCCTGACCTTGGAAAACAACAGCCACCAAGTCTGAGTGACACAGCCCTCCTCCCAGGAGGAGCTGCAGCTGCAGGAGGGGACCCTGCCACCGAACTGGGGAGGAAAAAACCATGTCCCCTTCCGTCCTGGCACCAGCAGTCTCGACAGGAAGGCCAAGGCTCTTTAGAGAAGGGAGAGGATGAAGTGCCACATGTCTGGAGGAGGCAGTTCTGCGTGGATTGCCTCCAGGCAGATGTAGCTTGGAGGGGTGGAGCTGAGCTCCACACAACCCTTCGATGTTCCTGCTAATCAGGCTTTAACTCCGCAGGCAGGAACACAGCCACGCGGCTGCCCACAGGCATGGGGATTTATGCAGAAGGGCTCACTAGGTGGGGTTCTGCCGGTTTAACTAAGGATGGGCACTGCAAGACAAGGGAACATGGACACATAAGAGCTGCCCAAACATCGACACCAATGTAGCCATGCAGCAGTTTCGATGAGGATGCTCCACCTCAGAATCTATTGACAAAACTTTGTAAAATCTAGGTTTTATCACTGCCATGCCACTTTAAACAATGCCAGACAGAAGGTGCCTCTTGGGAGACATCTGACAGCTATTTAACATTAAATCAAATTTTGAAAGTGCAAGCTGTGAACAGGGGTAACGTGAGACCCCATATGACAGCAGTCCTGTGCTCCACTGCTCCCCACTGTGTGAGCAAAGAACAACATAACCCCATGTGCAAGTTAAACCCAGAATTAAAGAACTGGTGGATCCCAGAAACATAGTGACTTGTAACATGAGGAGCATTCTAAAGCTAAGCTTTATAAAGCACTGAGGGAGCCAGCACTTGACTAAGTGTCCCATGGCTCAGAGCACCTGACCATTTTCCATCACTGCCATCTTTAAAAGCTTCTGAACATTTTTGCAGGGAACTTCAGAGAATCAGGATGAAAATTTACTTCGTCTCAAGCCCTCTTCAATCTGCTCCTCAAAAGTTTCCAGAGGAGGGGGGAAGGAGCCTGCAGGTACAAATTAAAACTTCAATACTAGACGGGTCGATAACTCCCACATACATCTGTGGAGTTTATTCCTGAAGCTGCTGAGCTCTTCCCCTTCACCCCTCAGGACAGCGAGGCAGCCAAAGCGGCAGCCGTGGCAGGTGTGAGCTGCAGGCAGGGGAGTGCTTGATGGGTTTTGCAGGCCCTGCAGCACAATTAGAGAAGTTGAGGACAGGAACTGCCAGACGGATCAGAGCAATGGTCATTTAGTCTGGCATTTCAGTCCCCAGCAGCAACTGGGACCAGATGCTTCAGAGGAAGGTGTGAAATCCTCTTAATGGGCAATTATGGAATAATCTCCCTTCAAGGAAGTTTTTTTCCCAGCATGTAGAGGCACAGTGTCCAGTTCATGCCCAAAGAATGAATTTACAGGTTCTGAACAATGCTTATCCCGCCTAACAAGAATACGGAAATCTTCCATTTCCTAAGTATTTAACCCTATTTTAAAGGCTATTGCTGAGCTGGTACACTCCACATGTGCTAGCAAAGCATGGCTCTGACATGATTGGTTTAAAATTTGCTGCCTTCAGTTTCACCAGCAGCTCCCTTGCTCTTGTAGCACGAGGCAGGACAAAAAAAAAAAAAAAAAAATGAGGTGTGGAATAAAAAAACCAACAAACCAAAGAGCAAAGTGATCTTCTGCTGGATGGGGCGCCTGGATGAAACGGGCAATCAATGCTAAGGGTTTCTGACCAGCTTCTAAGCCATGCAATGAGACAGCTCATGACCCTCCACTGATGGGATAGTGATACAAGACTCCTTCAGGCTATGAAGGAGGGCACGTTCACTGGCTGGGAACTGGGAATTACAATACAGAATGCTCTTACTGTGTAGGACGACTTGCTGGTGATCTCCAAAAGCTTCTGCTTTGCTCTCCGCTCAGACTCGCGAGCCTCCTGAAGGTCTTGCTTTAGCTGATCAGCCTCCTTCGCCCTACAAAGCGAAACAGCAAATGGCCAATATCAGATTGAAGTCGAAAGGAATGAGAATATGGAGAAGCAGGATTACAGTGTAGGTGCAGAACAGGTTGATATTTGTCCCGCAACAAGACCTGAACTAAGAAATCATTTCAGCAAGGGAAACACCAGAACCTCTGACACGTGGGATGTTTTAATTAGCACAAAAATCCAAGCCACGGAAGGGCAGCTCTGACAGAGGCTCTGTGTGACCATCAGTGAGCAAGGCTGAGGGCTGGAGAAGTGTGCGGAGATGCCAGAATGGGGAGAACAACTTCAGAAGTTAAGCTCAGACTTGCAGCAGGAGAGGCAATTTTCTGACAAGTAAGCCTCTACTAATGATGGTCTACTATGTTCAAAAAGGTAAAAGCACCCAAGATCGCATGGCTTTGCCTACTTGCAGGGCCCAGCAATTCTAAAACTAGTATTTACCCTTCAGCCTCAAGGACCTCCCCCACAAGGAAAAAGCCAAAGGAGGGAAGGAAGCTTTCTCTGCCAGACTGAAATTTGAGTGGAGACTTCACAAGGCAAGAAGAGATGGACAAGGGCAGTGTTTGTCCAAGCAGAAGGGCTGACACCAAGCAAGCTCTCACACAGAAAACAGTGATCAGTTGGAAGGAAACAAGAATGACCTTTTACTTGCTTGCTACCAAATGCACCATGGGACCTGGGCTCTGGTATCAAGAGGATGGAAACACCAATTTTAACAAGAAGCAAGGACTCCAGGAGCTAGGGAGACCTCAAGGCTAACCTGAAACAGAGATCTCACAACTGGTAAGGAGAAAAAAACAACTGAGAGGTAAATAGAGGAAGAAAGAGAAAATAAAGGATTTAGATCTACCATCCAGAAGAAAAAAAAACAAAACGCAAGTGTTTTTAATGCTGAGGAATGCAGTGGGTGTTTGCAGAAATCTCCCAAAAGTAGAGCTGGCTTCCACTGCTGCTGTCAGGGCACGGAAGGCAGAATGCCAGAGACCACAGTACCTTCTCCCCAGCTAGCTGACGGCCCCTTTCCCTGCTGCTCTCACCACAGTATCTCTCCCAAAGAAGGCTTCAGAGAAGGGTCTCCAGCTCCAATCCAGGGAAAGATCAGGGCCACCAGGCTCTACCAGCACCGTTTTTCACTCAGGGAGAGCCCAGCTGTGGCAAACAGCGAGACGGAGAGAGAAGCCAGCTGAGCCTTGGGGGCATTTGCTGTTTGTACATGCATGGGAGGCCAAGGGCTCAGTGCAAGCCATTGGATGGACTAACTCAAGGCGTGAGCCACTCTTTCAGCTAAGTCAGAAGGGGGTTGGAAAGCAAAGCAGAGGCAGCTGCAAGGTTGTACCCTCTGACCTCCTTTCCGACTCCTCCGCCATTTTCAGTGCCAACATCTCTGCCTCTAGCACCTTCTGTTCCATCAGTCGCTTTTCCTCCTCCGTCCGGATGGCCGTGGCTTTTATTCGCTGCATCTCCTGTTCAGCCTCAGCCGCTTTCTGAGCCAGGAGCTTGGCCTCTTCCTCCGTGATCTGAGCCTTCTCAGCCAGCAAGTCCGCTGTCTCTTCAGACCTCATCTGAGAATTAAGGCACATTAAGCCATCAAGAGCACCGAATGTCTCCCCAAATGTGCTTACAAACCCCAGAGCAGGGCCCTGAGCTGCACAGCCCATAGTGTTCCTCCCTTCCACAGAAGCCTGCAGCCTTCTGCAGCCAAGCCCTGGATGGGCCCAGGCTCTGTCCCAAATCCTCCTCCTTTGTGCTCCTGCCACAGCATGCTAGCAGGATGAAATCAACTCCATCCAGCCTCCTGATCACCGTCCACCGGCAGCAGTTTGAGAATAGCCACAGGACAGTCACAGTGTGCTTCCTAAAACTCTTCAGCAGTGGAAAGAGGGAGGAACAGCTGCAGTGCCTCGGGAAGCAACCTCCCAGAGACTCACCAGAGCCTCGTTGGCCATCGTTGCCTCTTCCTTTAACTGCATCAATCTTCTCTCCAGCTCATCCCTTGTCCTCTCAGCCTCTTCTCTCATTTGCTTCTCTCGGGCCAGGCGCTGCCGTTCCATCTAGGAAAAAGGTATTGGGGAAAGCAAGAAGTAACACACATTAGAAAGCTTTTCCATAGTATGAGAAAGGGTGGCTACGTGAGGGTTAGAGCACAGGGCTGCACTGCTGCCTCCTCTCTGCTTATCAACATTGAGATCTTCACTAAATGGGGCTGATCTGATGCACCCTGCTCCCTTGAAAAGTGCCATTCCCAAGACGATCCTCTATCCTCCAACGCACAGTGCTGCCCCTCAAGCTGCCAGAGGACTCTGAGAAGTAGGGTCCCAAGAGCTCCACCTACGCCTAGAGTTTCTTACGGCAAGTTGAACTAATGGCAAGACTGGGCTTAAGGGCAGTCTGAGGGCATCTTCAAAATATCAAATATAGACAGACCGCAAGGCAGGAGTTTGAAGGACATGGGTAGCTGCTACTTCTGATCAGACATCTAACCCAGCATGCTGGAAACTTTACTTCCACTCATTTATAGGGGAGGTTGCAAAGAGCACAACCATCGCTATCAATTCCTAGATAGGACAAACTCCCTCCCTCCAGCTCCCTCTGCAGGGAACAGCAATGCTTCTCCAGGAGGGGAAGATCCAAGCTACGCTGAGACAGCCCACCAGAATCCTGCCACCTCTTCCCAGAAGATGCCCAGAGTGTTGTGCAGATAGAGCGTGCCCAACAACTGCCTCTCTGCTAGCCAAGCGCCTGAAGGGAGCCATTGGGCTAATTAACACACCAAGTTTAAGCACTCCAGTATGACAGAGATGGGTGCATTATAAATATCCACACTACAGAAAGGACTCGCAGCATTGCACAGGCCACCTGCTGGGTTTAATAAGGGAAATAAGTGCAACAAGACACATTTCTCTGCTCCTTGGACACCAACTGTGTTCTGAAAGTGGGACGCCCACTGCTCTAACAGCTCTGCTTCCTTCTATTAAAGGTTCCCCTCATTAATTATCATTACAATCTGCATCCCACTCAGGACTTCCATTAACAAGAATTCCCGATACAAAAGGACTGTCTGGAACGGTGAATCCTGGGGAGGGAGGGGAGATCAGGCAAGACAGCACAGTGGCTAGCTCAGGAGAGGGCAGCCAACCCTAGCAGAAGCCTGACCTTTCCCGTAGAGCACAAGCACCTTGGATTTGAGAGCTCATGTGAAACGATAAGCTTCTGCTCGCTCTTGGTGCCTGCTGGTCTTCTCCCTCACCTCTCCCAACTAAGTCCAGGATCTCAGCTCTTGCTGGCATTGTTCAAATGCACCAAAAAACCCTCACAAGATTGTGAAACCTGTCCCTGAAGCCACCAGCACTTGGATGCTGCTCCTTCCAAGAAAGACCTTTTGCTCCACTAATGACAACTCCTCCATGGGAAGCAAAAAGCCCCTCTTCCCCAGAGGAGCTGGCCTGGTTACCCTCATAGTGACTCATGTCCTGTCCTCTCCTGCCACCTCACAAGCTATGGGAAGGAGAACTGCTTCAGGAGGTGCCTCCAAGACAAGCCATGTCACATCTTCAGGCCAGCCGAGCACCCCAACCCCAACTCCAGCACCATGCAGGCACCTCCGTGGACACGCTCGAATCCATTAACTTAGCAACCCCTTGAGCACAGGGCTCTCCTGGGTGCAAGTGGCTGCTTTGGTTTCTTCTGCTGCTATCTAGCGGCTTTGTTGCGCAAGGGCCATTTATATCCTAAGCACCAGTACTCAGATTAACTGTGCAGGTTTCAGTGAGTAGAAAAGGTCTACGAGCAGAAAACAATGATTCATACAATCCAATTTGCTGATATATGCTCATCGGCTACACGCTGCTGCCTCCAAAGAGCCGTTTTTGCTGCCTGGGCTGGCCTGCGGCAGATAAAGGAGGCCAGCACTGAATTAGCATGCAGGCTGCACACCCCGAAATGCCGGCGTGCATTCCATCACCATGTAATTAGAAAATGAGGCAAAGAACTATGGCAAAGCACAGCTCCCCCTCACAGCCCCTGCTTTAATTACAAGCAACTACCCCAACATACAACATCTTTCCAGCTTCGGCACCCAAGCATAAACAGAGGTAGGGAAGATGCACACAGACTTGTGGGACGCCCAGATTAGCTCTTCCCTCCCATCCTCCCAGTTTTGCTCCCAAGTGTGGGGGGCTGAACTCGGGCTGCCAAGCTGTCATCGACCAGCAGAGCCAAGTTGAGAATGACTGGCAAGGTGGGAGCAGGCTACTAAAAAGAGCTGTTCAGCCGGACCGTCCCTCAAAGCTGCTCCGTGTGCTTGATGTCATTCTGGAGACTGTTCCTTCCCAATTTAATTTGCATTTCTGATTTTGGCTCACGGTCTAGTTATATGAGACATCTCTCACCTGCTTCCTGGCTTTCTCCTCCCTGGCCTGCGCTTTCATCTGCTGGACCTCCAACGAGTCTGCCTTTCTCCTCCTCATGAAGAGGTCATGGTTTCCAATACACAGCTGAAGAATCTATTCCAGTCAAGGGTGAAGAGCGGAGAGAAACAGCTGTACACATGATGATGGTGAGGTGGTTTGTATTCTTGACACACAAAAACACTAGAATTGCTTTGATCTGGTGCTTGTAAGCACTTCCACCCACTGATCTCAAACCCTATGAGCTCTCATACTCATACAAGTGGCAAGGAGCCGAGGCACTGCCAAGTCCCACACCAAACACCAGCTCCTGGGCTCTCAGCTCTTTGCAGAGACCAATTTTCTGTTTTCTGTGTATCCAGCATGGTTCTGGCAAGTTTCACACCAGCCCTAAAAAGGCATTAGGCCAAATAATGAAACAAAGACTTCTACAGCTCTGACCGGTTCCCTGGTTCTTGCTGCCCTTTCTTTAGGTTCAGGATGAACTCTTGCACCTTCTCCTGACTGCATATTTAAAGGATTGAGATTTAAAAAAAAAAAAAAAAAAGAAGGAAAAGCCCTTTCCATCTTGGACAAACAGAAAGCCTTATCAAAAACTTCCTTGGACATCTTCAGATACCTTTGCTCAAAGGTTTTGAGCACCAGTGTGTTTCCTCTGGTACACAAAGACAACAAGGAAAGTGGCAGTACTAGGGAGGGTTAGTGAAGGGACGCATACAGAGAAGAGTGAAAGCTCTCTTCAGCAATAAAAGCGGGTTTCTAAACTCAGGTTTTTTTCTAAAGGACCGATGCCGGTCTTCCATTTCACAAGTCACGAATGACTTCTCTGGAGTCAGAGGAGCTTCAGCACGATGAACCTCATGAGTGCAGTGAATGAGGCCTTTGCCAGGAAGCTCCACTCCCCTATGGCACGTGAAGCACAAGATAGCAAAGTTCCCCTCCCTCTCTTATAAAGATGGGAAAAATATCCCCCTTTGCCTTCTGCAGGTCCCTCATGAGACTTAGCACGGTGCACAGCTACTACAGAATCTGGATCTAAGCTCCTCCAGATACCAAATCCAGAACACAAGCTAAAGCTGGTCTAACACAGATGCTGAACAGAGCAGCTCCAAGGACAGTGTCCTCGGAGGGCATCAGCCTAGGAAAAAAACCCAGACTGTGGCTCTGGTAAAGGTGCATCCCAAAACAGGGAGATCTACGTCACAGGACAGAACAGATCTGCAGGAGAAGAAAAGGGATCTAGAGCAAAGATGGGGTCATGAGAAATTTTTACTTACTAAGTGCATCCGCCATGCAGGTTAGCTGTAACCCAAGAGCTCAGAAATTAGCACAAAAACAGGAGAGAAGGGTAGAGGTTCTGTGAAGGAGCTTGACCTTGAGCTTCCCCTATCTCTCCTAGAGGCTATGACCAAATCGGAACTGCTATACCAAATCACATCTAGAGTCCAGCCAGGCCAGCACGCTCCCTCCGAATGCTCGAAGGAAAAGCCCCAAAAGAACATTGTCTTGTACTGCCGGCAGAAACTACCGCTGCAGGCAATAAAAATTACTCTGTCTGTAGACTTACCAGCTTATTCACACGCAGCTTTGATGAATTGAATTTAAAAACATCAATCTTTTTGTCCAATGGCTTAATTGTAAACTGAAAAGGAAAAAATAAAGAGGGAGAGAGTTATCAGAGAGCAGTGCATTTAATAAAAACGCAGCTATAAAAGTCTTACTGAAAGCTTTGGCTCAGAGGAGGTCACAGTGTCAGACAAACAAGGCTGAGAGCAGTCCCAGTGGCTTTTAGTCAAGCAAGAGAACTAGTAGCAAAGACGACCATTCCTCCGGCCAGAAAAACGCGAGTGGTGCGCAGAAGCAATGAGGGTGCTGCCCACCTACAGACTGCAATGCCCAACAGCCGGCATCCTCTGCAGAGCACCTTGCAGAGGGCAGAGACAGCTCAGCACCTCCCGAGGAACGGCAAGGTGCTGCTCTCCTAGCAGCTGTGAAGAACGGAGAAGATACAGCAGAAACTCATGACACTTCTGAACAGAGGAAGAACCAGCTCAGCTACCCAATGGATCAGCAGAAGGGTCACATTAGGAACACAGCAACAGAGCTGCTGTCCTTCCCCTTGACACCTCTGCTCGCAAGAGCTCCCCAAAAGGATTTTCCATGCATTCCGTTCTCCAGAAGTCAGCTGTCACAAGACTGCTCTGCAATTCAAAATATTATTCCCTCGTTCTAACTTGTATTTACACCCCACGTGCCAACCGAGGAGCTGTAACCGTAGCCTGGGTTTACCCTCTCCAAAGGCCTTTCCCACAGCAGGACTCTCGAGTTTCACCTATATAGGTGGCATCGCTGGACTCGAGAGTTTCAGTAAGAGAGCGCCCCTGGACAGACAGAAAACTCTGAACTAACAAAAGGATACTTGAAGAGATGGAGTGCTCCTCAACACTGCATTTTTTAGAAGGTGTGCATCTATTCCATCACTCCCCCACACACTACAAAAATAACTGGCTGAAGAGACAGCGCTGGAGCAGGCAGTCTGTGTCCATTAAAGCAGGTCTATTTGTCAATACATTGTACTGCCTGAAAAGGGCTCAGCCGAACTCGCCTTGGCAGTGTTTTGTTTTGTCAGTTTAAAAGCCAATCTTTTAAGACTTTCACACAGGCAGACGTGCGTGAATGTCCCTGGACTCGGGCTCCGGCAGAACCCCTACCAGTCATTGAAAGCAACAGCAGAAATACGCCAGGAGAGGAATTTCAGTTCCACGTAAACAGTCAATCTTTGTTACGATGGATTAAACCCCTCTGTTGCATCGACATAGCTGTCATACCCATCTATTAAGCCTGTTTACTATCACGTCAGGTCTACTTGTGGTCATCTTGTTACACAGATGATTGACCTGATGGAAGGTGGCAGTCCTTTCCCCCAAGTGAAAGCTCTATTACGGTCTTGTGTCAAGGCCTGGTTATGGAGGCTTCAGTCCCCAGATTTCTGAGGCAAGGCCTGATCGGACAGCTTCCACCGCACCCACGTGTCACGGGCAGGAAAGCCTTCGAAAGCCACAAAGTGCTGGGCTGGTCTGCAGAGTTGTGAAGCTCTTTACTTTTAAGCAGTAAAACAAGTGAAGAGAATTCCAGCCCAGCCTTAAGACTCCTAAAACTTCACAAGACATCCAGTATACACAGCTCATGAGAAACCTTTAGCTTTTACCATGATCACTATCACATTTAGATTGGAAAGCAATTTTTAATTAAGAAGTTCATTTTCTTCCTTACCATAAAGGCAGCTGGTTTTCTCTGAGCAGCTCTCACAGACTGAAAATGGAACAGCTCGGTTTCCCCTCCACAGCCAATTTCACTGCTATTCTCAACTAGGTTTGGTGGCCAATGATTCAGAAGATTCATATTTATCCTCTGGATTTAATAAATATCTCTCCAATAGCAGGCTTAAATTACTCAACTTCCTAAAAAGATTCCAGCTGTTATGCTAAGCCCAGCAGCCTGAAAATTCAAGATGATGTAATGATATGGCAGGAGGCAAGAGCTCTTCTCACCAGGAATACATCTCACTATATTTCATAATACAGTATATCTACATAGCAACATATAGCGTAATACATACAGTAAAGCAGAGCTCTCAACTTCTGAACTCTGATATTTGGGCTAAGCACATCAACAGCAATTTTGTTTTTTGAAAAAATATTACAAAGGGGGTTTGAATGTGCTCTAAAACCAAACAGGACAATAGCTCCCAGTTGACCTCTTGTACACCCACTCCTGGAAGGCTGCAGAAAGGCTTGGAATTTAGGTTTCAATTGGAGAAGCTGAGCTGCCCCTAGCTAAGCTGGTGAGAGCAAGCACAGCAGACAGAGAAGCTAAGAGAAATCATTTTAAGTCGCAACCGTGTTCTTATTGCTCTCAGGGAAGAGGGGAGATGTATCCGTACCTCTTTATCGCTGTATGAGATATTCCGGATCTCGTTCCACGGAAAGGAGATTTTAGGGGTCAACCTGTTGTCTGGGTCATAAATGTGAAGACCCAAGGCATCAACTCCAAGGAGCAGTTCAGTGCCCTTTTTATTCTACAGGAGGAAAGAAAAGAGCAGAAAACCCTTTTATTCCACTCGGAGGGTCTGACATGAGCCACTGTTAGCTTCATCAACCAGCCCTGAGCAGTGACCCACCAGCACTGCACGTTAAAAGAGCTTCTGCCTCCCCAGCAGCTAGCAGCAGAGCACGCTGCAGCAGGGACTCTTGCCAACACACTGCAGCCGTCTCCGCTAGCTCTGCAAGGCTCTACTCATCCAATCTCACATCAACACAAAAGATGAAGACTAACACAAGAGTTACGCCAGAAGGAAAACATGACCCACAACCCACACTCACCCTAATCGCAAAATAGTTCACTCCGTACATCTCCAAGTCCTGAGCTATCTTCAAATACTCCATTTCAGCTTCATCTCTGTCAGACAAAAAGAGGCCAGCGTTATGATGTTTGGTAGGATCAGAGAGAGGGGGATGGCTGCTCTTTCTGATCCTAAGCGCTCACAAGGCTTTAAAGCCTGGACTGTCTATCGCACAGGTCAAGCCTGTCTTTGCTGGCAAGATCAATAAAGCCCAACAGCAAATCCCACTCGGCACCTTGCCGGCATCTTAATGGCTGCTGATGCCTGCCTGGCGAGATGCAGCACTTCAAGCCTTGTGCTGTCTATCTCCCAGTCCCTGAAGCATAAATAGGAAATCCCTGGCTGGGAGGGCCCTGTTTCAGACCATCTGACTTTAGGCTTATCCCCCCACCAGCAGCATTTTACCACCTGAGACAGTGGTACACCTCATCAGTCTGAATCCTCATTTCATTCCCTGGCCCAAAAAACACCCCGAGCCCCTAGGCAGGCAGGGCTGCCGGCCTCCCCGCCCCTTTGCAAGCGGTCCCTTACTGAGCATCAGTCCCAGATTCTCTCAAGTACCCCATCGGTGACCAGAGGACAGCAGGGCACATGCAGAGCAATCAAAGAAAGTCCTTTGGCCCTTCCTGAGTCTGCCACAGAGGCGTGCTAGGATTAACCCTGCTGTCAGCAGAGCTCATCCATCACGTGCCCAAGCTCCCCAAACCCTGGTGACTCTTCAGGCGAGGGGACTGACCCCAACCCACCACTCCAGCACACTCTCACCTTGCTCTGCCTCGGTGCTCTGCATACCAGGCTGTTATCCTTTCCTCCCACATCTCTGGAGTCATCTGGTACAGGTTTATTACCTGAGATACATAGGGAGACAGAGACCAGGTCACATTGCTGCTCTTGTCACAGGCTCCTCAGCCAGCAAGCCAGCCAGAAACACCCGAGCCCCAGGCAACCCCTCCCCAGCACCACGTCCAACCGCAGGACAGGTAATTTGAGCAGGGCATCCTCAGCCCCACACCCTGAGATCGCCCGGCACTCGCTCAACCCTCCCAAGCACACAGCACAGGCAAACTGTCCCCAGGCCATGGCCAGGAGATGGAGGCAGGATGAAACCATGGAAAAAAAGAAAACTTTTGCTTCTTGTTTTATTAAAACATCAGAAAGGGATTCAATTCTCCTCCCTCAATACATCTTCTGGACTGTTTGCCCTGGTAAGGAAACCCAAGGAAAGTGCAGCAGGGTACATGCTGCAGGCAGTCCCACAGGGACCTTCTGTGCAAAGGCCTCTCCTACACAAAATACCCCCAGGCTTGGAAACCTACTCCTCCACTCAGCCAAGCTCCTTACCCGCTTTGGAAGCAACTCCTCTTGCGCCAAGAAGCCTCGCTTGTGGACGTTGGGATCGTAATCACCATACTGGAAAGAAGCACAGACATCGTGCCCGCCCCATGTTAACAACATGGGCAAGTAAAAATCTTCACCCTTACACATCCACCCCTTGGAGAGAGAGCAAATGCAGACTGCTTACACCCTTCACGTCACAACCTGTTAGAGCAGAGAACATGCGCTGCTCGGTAAATTTAATAACCATATTTTCTTTGTCATTTGACTGCTAATAGAAACTAACATCCTCCATCTGTGGAAGTAGAACAAAACTTCCCACCATCAGTCAATGTCCACCATCAGTCGACATCCACCATCAGTCCACCAGCTGGACTAGATGGTCATTGTAGGTCCCTTCCAATTGAACTATTCTATTATACTCTAATTACCATGCCCAGAAAACACTTCCTCTGATGCAAGGACTCTATAGCTGAGAGGTTCTTGCCCTCCCACCGGTAGAGGGACAGGGAGTCAAGATATGGACAAAGACCTGTCCCCAAAGACTGACCAATGCCAGTAATTGGGGTGAGGCAGATGGTGGTTTCTCCGATGCTGCTCAGCATCCTAATGAACAAATATTAAAAAAAATTACAGGAGTGTGACAGACTCCTCTCGGGCAGGTGTCGGCTTTTCTGCCGAAGGGTCTGTTGCTCAACTGGGTCATGGAATCCAATTCAGATTTCTTAAATGCATCCAGTAATTACTAGTATTTGTTTAGATTTACATCTTTTTGAGCAGCATATAAAGTGACTGAGAAATAAAACTGCTTATTAACCGATTGAAAAGCCGAGCGCCCCTGCAGTGCATGTGAAAATGAATTTACCTCCTGTACAGCTTAAGAGGGCAGGAAACCACCAGAAAATGGCACCTCAAATAACCCAGCAAGTTCAAGAGATGAGTACAATGGATGTAAGGCACATACACGAAATGCTGCAATTTTCATTCACATGGCAAACAGGACTTCTGCAGTGACATTACCCAATTACACAAGACACGGTGACGTTTGCTCAAGTCACTCATTTTGCAAGGGAGACAGCCCTTCCCTCCCTGCTTTTCCGAAGGACCTCAGCTCAAAAGGTAAAAAATGGTGACAATTTTTAAAACCAAGCCTAAGACACACGTGGTGGTCATGTCATAAGCCAGGAAGCTTTCCAAATCAGCCTCCTTTTAATGCCAGAATCATCACGTTGTACACTAAAACCAGAGCTCAGCATCAAAAGTCTACACATAAATCCTCTCTGCAGCCCAGCAAGCAACATTTCATAGACGACAAGCAGGGATTAAAGACGCAAATATTGATTTGGAGCCAATGCAGATGCGAAGGAAGCATGCAACAATCAACACTGACTCAGACTTCAATTAATATAACAAAACTGCCACGGATTTCATTCAGAAAGGTGCTGAGCAGCAGCAACTGTTTGTCTTCCAAGGTCTACAGATGCTCGGAGCTCCTCAGAAAAGCAACGCATTGCAGGTACATGTCCCTTGAACCCCTATCAAAAGGGAACAGCAATAAAAATGTGGCACTGGCAAAGGAAACAACTCCAATAACCTTGGAGAGGCAGAAAATAAATCATTTTTAGGTGAGGAAAATAATAGCAAGTAGGATTAATGCGATTATTTTTTGTTGTGATCTACTGTGGAGATCCAAGACTAAGCATGGATTATGTAATTTTCATGTGGTGAAAAATATTGCCATGTCCCAAAGGAATATTTGCACTGAGAGGGAGTCTGGATGAGAACATTAATTATACACAAGTCAAAAATCAACAAATGGCTTAAGTATTGCAGTATATGTTGGCTCAAATGATTCAGCAAACATATTTTTAAAGACCTTTTCAATTAAATCATTACTTCAAAACTGTCATGGAATTTCAGCTCCTGTTAATTGAACTATATGATTAATATTCATGGTTATGCACGGAAGTTGCCTTTACCTCGCTCATACACCTGGCTTACATTGTCCTGGATAAACACAGGCATGTTCAGGTTCAAACTATTAACACCAAGTATTGCTTGTTTTGGGGTAAAAAAAAAACCCACAACAAGAATAAAGGAGACCTTTGCTAGTGCTACAAGATTTGAAGTGCTGAGAGGGCTGCAGTGATCTGCGTTTAAGGGGCAAGTAATGGAAGAACCTCCTGGACATTTCTGTTTTCTGCTGGGACGCATTTTTCAGTAGATTCCATGTCTCTCCCAGCTATTTAAAACCTGAACCACCTCCAACATCTGAAAGCAGTGTGGGTGGTTTGAATGCAGGGCTAGAGGGGAAACCACGTAGTAATTCCCCAAATGAACACAACGATATAGAAATAAATAAGCTTTTGTTTTTATGGCCCACACGCTTACTTTGTTATTGCAGGTAGGTGTGCAACCACACTACCAAACCAACCTGGCTGTCAATCAAATGGCTGCGAACACACCGCTATGTCAGGCTATTATGCCCCTAATCATGCAAATCAGCACGTTATTAGTGAAATTACTGTGCTCAGCGACCGCTTTCTTGTCCAGAAAGGACATCATTATCCTATTTAACTGCAAGGAGATGACCTGCAACATTTTTCTTCCAGCTCCATAGCAAAGACATGCTTTCAGCTTTCTCTTTCGCTGAAAAAAAAGCAGAAGGGGAAACCCTGCCTGGAGGGGCAGCAAGGAAAAGCAATGTCTGATGCAGACGTGAAAGCACATTAGCAAAGATCAGAAAAGGCATCCCCCTTCCGCCTCCTCACAATCTCTGTGCAGAATCAAGACGTGCAAGGTTAGAACTGCTCCGACTCCAGCTGGCCTCCTCCAGACAACCGAGTGTCGAGCACGTCGAGTGTGCTACCGAGCACAAGGTCAGCAGCCGAGCTGCAAGAAGAGAAAGAGGACGGCACAACAGTCCTGTACCAAATTACAGCCTGTTCCCAGTCGCGCGAGCAGAAGCTGTCACGGCCAAGAGTTAACAGCGCTCAATATTTACCCAATGGTTTATTCATTTTGGCAACAGGAAAAGTCATCCCCTACGTATCCTCAGCTCAGCAGGTCAATGGAGAAAAAGCCAAGTAAGTGTTTACTCATGCACTCTAATAAGAGTGATGAATGTTTCACGTAAATAGAAACATTTCTAAAAGCAACTCGTCTTTCCCTGGCTGATGAGTGTCTCGAACAAAAGTACGGTTTCATCAATATTCTGACTATGGGGAGAAAACATCTTTTTCTAGTAAATTCAAACATTCATCATCAAAGAACACTGCTGCACGTCACCCAGGGCTGTACTCAGACAAACCAAGCACGGACTAAAGGGTTATGAGGAAGATTATACGGCAACCTGGAAAAAGCCACAGTGAAACACAGAGGACCGACCTCTGTTTCCAACCAGCCTGGATCAGGCCTTCTCTTCAGGCAACAAAGCCAAATCCCTCCTGCATAGAATCGTTCAGCTTGGAAAAGACCTTTAAGATCATCAAGTCCAGCCGTTACCCTAACCTTTCCACCCCACCACTAAACCCTGGCCCTAAGCACCTCGCCTGCCTGGCTTTTAAATACCCCCAGGGATGGGGACTCGACCCC